GGGGGGGGGCTATGAGCCTGTGGGGGGGGGTACAGGGCCTCTGGGGCCTCTGAGTGGGTTTTCATAGCCTCCAGGGGATGGGTACCTGCCTCTGGGTGGGTCTAACTGCCTCTGAGGGGGGTCTGCTGGCCTCTTGGTGGGTCTACCTGCCTCTGTAGGGGTTTACCTGCCCCTGGGGGGGTTTACCTGCCCCTGGGGGGGCCCCCTACCTGCATCTGGGGATGGGTACCTGCCTTTGGGGTGGGTCTTCCTCTCCTCTAGGGGGGTTTGCTTGCCTCTGGGTGGGTCTACCTGCCCCTGGGGGGGGTTACCTGCCCCTGGGGGGGTTTACCTGCCCCTGGGGGGGGCCCCTTCCTGCCTCTGGAGATGGGTACCTGCCTTTGGGTGGGTCTTCCTCTCCTCTAGGGGGGTTTTCATAGCCTCTGGGGATGGGTACCTGCCTCTGGGTGGGTTTAACTGCCTCTGAGGGGGTGCTACCTGCCCCTGGGGTGGGTTTACCTGCCCCTGGGGGGGTCCCCCTGCCTGCCTCTGAGGGGGTGCTCTCCCCCCAGGCCGTCTGAGCTGTCGGTGAAGCTGAACCGGCAGCTGGAGCGGTGTCTGAGGAACTCCAAGTGCATCGACACCGAGTCGCTCTGCGTGGTCTCCGGGGAGAAGGTGACGGGCCGCCGGGGGGGGGGGGCGCTCCATCCACCCGCCCGCCCATATTAACCTGTCTCCGTGTGGGTGGGGGGCAGGTGTGGCAGATCCGGGTGGACGTCCACACGCTGAACGACGACGGGAACCTGATGGACGCGGCCAGCGCCGCCGCCGTGGCCGCGCTCTGCCACTTCCGCCGCCCCGACGTGGCCATCCAGGGGGACCAGGTCACCGTGGTGAGTCAGCAGCCTTCCCCCCCCCCCACCTCCGGGTCTCCGCCCACCAGGCTGCGTCTAACCCGGTGTTTCCCCCCCCCACCAGTACGGCCCAGAGGAGCGGGACCCGATCCCGCTGAGCATCTACCACATGCCCGTCAGCACCAGCTTCGCCTTCTTCCAGCAGGGGTGAGCCTCACGGAGCAGGAAACCCCCCCCCCCCCCCCCCCCCCCCCCCCCCCCCC